ATGGATGGATGGATGGATGGATGGATGGATGCTTTTTGATTAGCTGGGATTTTTTTAGGCCACTGTATCGGTCATCTATATTCATGATATTCGTATTAAACACATTTTTTATGTCCAACCATGTGCTGATTTGTAAAACGTTTACAATTTAGTCAGAAGTGACAATAAATGTCGGTTAATTTCAACCAAAAAAAAAAAAAAGAAAGTAAGAGGGCCAGTTCTACATATTATCAGAGAAACACTGCGTAACTTCTGACCCAAGTATTCATAACTCATAGTGAGACTCTAATGTAGACTTAGCAGGAACCATTTAGTCGATATCCCCACTGTGTCCTCCTCAGGTACCAGAGCTCAGACTGAGGACATAGCACCAAGCATTGTCCACCAGCCCTCTGATGTGGTGGCGAAACTGGGCGACCCTGCCACTCTCTCATGCCGGGTGGACGGTAGCCCCAAGCCCACCATCGAGTGGCTGAGGAACGGTCAACCCCTGGGGACAGAGATGGGGGCTGGCCCGGGTCAACCCCTGGTTCTGTCAGAGGGGAGCCTGTTCTTTCTAAGAGTTGGAGGAGGCAAGCGAGGCCAGTCCCATGAGGGCGTCTACGCCTGCGTTGCCAGAAACAGCGCCGGTGTGGCCATCAGCCGCAACGCCTCGTTGTTTATAGCAGGTAAGATGGGGGTATAAAGGGATTTCCTGTCCTATGATGATATTTAAAGACAGCTAATTATTGGATCGCATAAAGACTTTACTAAAGCAATGAGATGTTTTGATTGAAATATCTGCAATTACATGTCAAACATGGAGCTAAAAGTAAAAGGACAATATGTACAATATCAGCTCTCTGAAGGCTTAAACCATCCTTTTTAAAGCAGGTGAATGTAATGGATGCATTCACTGAAAAACTCACAGAGAAACCAGATGAAGGTGCAGTTCCTCCAAGGTTTAACATAAGTCACCAAAGAACAGAAAATAAAGACCATAACAGGCTGGTAAAGTTCTATGTTACCAAAAACACAAACTAAAGCTGGTCTGGGCCAGAAATTACGCTAAATATCGCCTGAATAACACAGAGAATGACGGCCCTTTGCTGCCCAGATCTGATTTACAAGAAGTACCCCATTACGGGGAGTGTTGGAAGTGCCCGGTTCGATCCCCACAGCCTGCACTCTGGGTTCCTGAGCAAGACCCTTAACCCCACACTGCTTCCCGGGCTCCGCTCAATGGCAGCCCACTGCTCCCCAAGGGGATGGGTTAAATGCAGAGAACGAATTTCCCCATGGTGGGACAATAAAGGGATTTACATTTACATGCAAGGGCCAGCTGGGGACCATCTGGAGGACCTGTGCTGGCTCAAAACTGTTTTAGCGCTACAAGTTTTGTAGTTTTGAATGATTTGAATGTACTGATTTGGTTCCCTCTATAGAACTGCTGATCCCATCTCTACCTACATGGGGGACTGTGGGATCATCAGTGCAATATAAACACCTCCACAATCACTGTGAGCTTTGGTGCTTGAGGTGTTTCCAGGTTCCTGGTCCCGGTGGAACCCATTATTCGGGTCCAGCTCAGTTTAAAGGTCAACTCTGTGTTCTTGTAGTTCTTAAGGATGAGTTCAGAGCAGAACCTAGTGATGTGGAGGCGGCTGAAGGGGAGGCGGCCGTCTTAAATTGTGAGCCACCGCTGGGACACCCAGAACCTAATGTATTGTGGAAGAAGGACGGCATTCCCATCAACAACACGGACCCCCACTACACAGTAAGAGCCCCGACCCATCGTCTACTGCAGCCTCTATGCGAAGCCACTAACTGATGGCTCTGTTCTGCAGAAGCTGAGTGGGAAGCTGATCGTTGAGCCTGCAGAGAAGAGCCATTCTGGGTCTTATGTCTGTGAAGCCAGAAACATTATGGGAGTGAGACAGAGCAGGCCGGCTCGGCTTTCTGTGCTGGGTGAGAGCAGAACCAGGAGCTCTGACAAGCAAACCCTCTGACTAACTCACAGCAATCCACTGTGTTTCTGCTTTCCTCTGCAGCCAAACCTGCTTTTGTTCTGAGGCCAGAAAATGTGTCTGTGAGGACGGGAGAGTCCGCCCACTTCCACTGCCAGGCTAAAGGTGACCCCCCTCCTGCTGTGGCGTGGAGCCGAGACCGAAGCCCTCTGCCCAACGGCAGGTAGATGCCTTCAGTTTCCGATCTACCTTCAGTTTCCGATCTACCTTCAGTTTCCGATCTACCTTCAGTCATCTGTGACAGACAGGATGTCTGACGAAGAGTTTAGCTCATGGTTAACTTCCTGTTCCTGTGGAGGCGTTGACAGAGCTCCACCTGTCCCAGTCTGAGGTACCGTGGCCCAGTTGACCGGTCCTTGTGATGCGCTCTGCTTCCAGGTATCTCATCAACCCAGACCAGACTCTGCAGCTCCATTATGTGACGGCGCAGGATGCTGGCCAGTACACCTGCACTGCTGCCAATCATGTAGGTGTTGTCAGGGCCACCGCAACGCTTCAAGTCCAAGGTCAGTTTAATTCTCTCTATGAACTGTTTTTCCAGTGCTTTGTATTGGATTTGATGTTGCTGGAAATTCTGCAGCATCAAACAGAGTCAATCAGCTTCTACCCTAATGGCTGCAGGCAGCCTGTAATCCTCCTTTTAGTCAGTTTAAACTGTTCAACAAATCAAGAGAGCGCTAGAAGAATGACTTTTAGATCCCAGTGATTTAATTGTCCAGCTCAAAATCTTCGTTAAATACAGAATGTGTGGAGAAGAAAATAACAAAAGATTGATCTGTGCTAATCTAAATCATCCAATGGAGGTCTGGATGTGTTCGCAGAAGGAGCCGTTAGAAGCCGCCAGACTGTGACCGCCTAAGATGGAGTAGCACGGAGGAGCTGCTACAGTCCGTGGCTACGAGCTAACCACCATAGCTAAAACGGGAGACATCCCGCATGGTACCATGAGTTATAAAATTAGCCCCCTTGCAAATCGCCTCTTATTGTTGCACCGGATTGATCCAAATGATGAGAGGACTGGAGCGAAGACTGGCCTGCAGAAAGCGGACCGAGCTGAAGGCCTTCACTCCACTGAACCAAATCAGTAACTGCATCCTTTCCCCTCCTTTCCATCTGATGCTTAATAAGTGCCCTGCTTAGGTGAACTACAGTTAGAATAGAATAGTCCTGTTGCTGGTTTTATTTGAAATAATCTCTCTGATTCTGCAACTGATGGTTAAAGGTTTAGCTGAATGCTAATGCTCACTACAGACCGAACAAGTCACGTGTTGCTGAAGCTAAATGCTACATCATGAACATGCTATTATA